TTGTTATCAAGATTGCCAATGTTAAATCATTTGGCTTCAACATCATTCCACTTCGATATTGGAGACAAAGTTGAGTATGATTCTAGGGATGGATGTGCAACATCAGAGGATATCTACTGGAAATTGGATGCGTTGCAAGGATTCGTGCAAGATCTGAACTGGCCTGAAGAAGAGTTTGCAAAATACTTACAAGTTCGAATGAAAGCACTCGCGAGTGAAATGATCAGTAAATGTGCCAACTGGTATGCGATGATAACATTTCTAATGTTCTCTGTTATGTTACAAAATGCGGTAGTGTAAGGCCGCTTGTCACAAAAATTGTTGGCTTACAGCAGCAGCATGATTCAAAAACGTTGTTTAACATTCGAAGTACTTGACTGTTGAGCCAGCGAATTGAGAAAAGTCACTGTCTGTTTAACAGATTCTGATCTCTTCGAACTATGAGCGAGTGTTTTGCGGTTTCCAGCGATCATTTTCCTCACTCTTTCAGTACATATCAATGTTTCGATGGTTTTATGCAAAGAGCTCGCAAATCAACAGACTATGTGCTTCCGTCCGAAGTTTGCGTTATGATTAACGTGATATTCTCATCAAAATCTCGTGCCACAAAGTTAACGATNTTCTGGTTTTATTCAGAAAGAATTGATTCATAGTCTCAATAAAGGTCGCTGAAGAGATTTATTGTGGAGTGTTAAGAAAGTTCAATGAATAATACCCATTTCAGTATAAATATCAATCAAAACTCGACGAGACATTGGAGACGATGTTGAGAGATATGGAAACATGCATGCAAGATAAGGTTCTTTCTTTTAATCTGCATTGACTGTTTCTATTGTTGCTTGCAAGCAGGCTTCCCTCCCAAAAACAACGAATGTTCTTGAGAGGACAAGGGTGTCTCATGTAATGTGAACTAGGTAAGCAGCAAACTTTCAATGACAATTTACATCGCTTTGTTGGTGATTGAGATTTGTACTTATTGAACTTTTTTATTCAACAATCTTACCAATGAAACGATTAGACTGTTGTTGGGTCGATTGTATCTTAACAATGAATTAAAATTGTTGCAGTTGTTGTCGGTACTGGAATATGTTCTCTCAAAATTGGCACGTTACGACGAAGGCAATCCAATTGGAGCGTTGCTATCAATAGCGGTAAGTTCGAAAAGTGCAGCCTTATCGAAAACCTTCCATTGAAATAATACAATGTCAATAAGATAAATGAATATTTTATCCAGTAATAAAAAAGTTCATCTCTCCGTGCCAACATCAATGCGTAATGGGAATAATGTCGCCGTCTCACAGTTATTTCTATTTGAATATTTCAGCCGAAACCGACATCAATTTTCTCGAAGATGAAGAACATTGTTGGAGATCAAAGCCTAGCTCATTTGACTGGCTCCAGTTCATCAAGTCCCGCAACTCCGGTAAATCGATCATCATCTGCATTTGTTGTCCGCCTCTAATGAACTGCAAAAGAATTCTCTGAGTTGTTTTTGTTTCGGCCTTTCCGAATCCCCGACAGCAATTTTTGCGTCATGCACATCTGCATCCATGCAAACATATTTTCGTTGTTCATTCTCGATATAAGAAAAAAAAACTAATCGCTACATATAATACCGATGGTTTGATGTTTTTTAACTGTTAATTTCTCGGAATGTAAGGATGCCGAGCGCACGAAAGGTTTCCACTTCAATTTTGTTCTCCTCTCCGATCTATTTGGAATGCTATACGGTAACTGAGAGGAAATCTTTCATAGTCCTGTGACTTCAACAAGCTGTAATTCATTCGAAAACCGTCAAAGTCAGAGCTGTTCCATTGGACTGATGCATCCCAATAAGCCGTTTCGCTTTCAGAAACCTTCTGCTGCGCAAACGCAAAATTCCGAGCATATTGGACACTCGTACGTGACATTTATGCGTGTTTGTACGGAGCAACTGAGACAAGTGGTAACGGATGAAGTATGGGTAAATGCCCTCTTTGAGGTGATACATTCTTTCAGTGGACACATGCCATTCCTGCACGATTATACAGATCTCTATGAGTTTCCATCTATTCTGCGATTTGAAAAAATCGAATAATCTATCAAAAAAATCTATTTGAACTAATCAAATTCAATTTTAGCGTTCACTGCATGAAAGTATCTAGCACTGTATGAAGCACTCAAATTGGATTGTAAAATTTATCGTTGAGA